GAGTTTTAACATGGAAATGAGCACAGAAGTGTAGCAGTTCGATTTGTGACGTTCCACACTTGAAAAATATTATATTTAGTTGGTAATAAGCAAAACATATTTCATCAGATGTGTTTCAACTTCGCATTAATGCGTCTAAAGCTTATGTATTTTACTCCCAACAATGACGTTGCAGATCAAATGAGATAAACATATCACTGATTTCAAAATAACACATCAATGAACTATAATTCAAGGACTCTGCACACAACAAAGTATTGTACGAAAATTGACTTCAAGCTTTATTTTTTTTCCCAGGCACTTATAACCCATCCACCAAAGACCTGGTTTTTTTTGTTAATGCGAAGGCAATACTTCTGTAATTCCTGATGTGTTGCACTCACTGACAATCTAGCGGATCTTTCCAACTATGCACAGAAACGATTGTACATAAGTGAAAAGGATGTTTTATACTACTGGGATTAACATTTATCAAGTGTATGTATAATCTCCAGTGTACATGTTAAACATATTTTGCTATCGATTGTAAAATGTTGACTGAATAATATGGTCCTATTTCTGTAACAATTTGATGATGCCTGTAAACTGGCGTCCCTCATGTACTGTATCATGAGAATAAATTTATTTATTTGGGCTACACGATAAAATTAACTAACTAGTGAGATATAACGGGACAGAGTGTGAGAGTTATCTCGGGTAAGAGGAGAAATTATTGTAAGATCACTTTTTTCAGTTAGACAAGAACTAAATGAAAAAATACGATTACCATTTGCTGACATTTTGCCTATTTTTATCCACGTTTTAGCATTTCATTATACCTGGACTATAGACCATTCTGACAGACTGACTTTCAACATAGAAGCTTGCACACAAGTGCACCCGCTTAAGTTAGCACATTCCATGTATTACACAAGGGTAGAAGAAAAAAGAAATTAAATGTCACTATAATGTGCATAAATGTGATGAAAAACAAACAGTCATATGGAAAAAATATAAGGGTTGCTCAGATATGTGAGATTACACACAGTGAATGCATCTGTGTCATTAACAACGCTTGGAATCACATTTTTACTTAACACTAAGCTTAACCCCAATATTACTCACCATATTAGACTACTTAACACAGAAGAAATGGTACAGACACTACGATCGAAAACCAGTAGTCTTTTCATATCTTCCAGTTTCAATGGTCACTTATCGCAGCCTAAGTGGACAATACCATCAGCATACACTAAGTTGACAAGACTGTTCCCTGGTAAGTCCCTAAAGTGAGTGACAGACAATTCGGTTAATACATTTATGATGAAAGTGAACTAAAATAAGGACGACAGTTGTAGAAATGAGCCTTGTACTACATCCTTCTTTGAAATATCAGTTCCTTCATAGTTTAGTTTCAGTAATAAGTGAATGGAATGCAGTCTACAGATTCATGAAATTCGCATACTGACGTACTACTTTCCTAGAATCCTAGTTGATGTCTCCTCAGGAAAGTGGGAAATGAGCATTCCACTTGCGTAAACTCAATAGGCTGTGAACTGCTGACAATGAAAACGACAACAATTTTTGGTATTACTTAATTCCAAAAACGATCACATAATCTTTTATTCCGACTTCTGGTTCCATCAGATGAAATTAAAGGGAAGAGCTGAGAATAGAAGGGGTGTTGAGGGTTAGACAGTATAGATTTAGACTATTTCTCACATGAGTTTAGATGTCTTGTAACTAATGCATTAACGAGTTGACTAAATGGTACACCACTTGCCCTAATGACGACCTTAATACCTTGCACAATACGACATAGTCGTTTTTGAGTAATTCAGGAAAGAATAAGGGGGAGCAGTAAAGACCAATGCAAGAGTTAACAAGTTGTAGAAAGAGAGGTTGAATGATTCCTGACTGTCTTGAATACATAACATGGTAAGCTAGACTGAAGGTTTTCTTAGAAATCGACAAGATGTAGAATGACCGAGAAAGACCAGAGGATAGATTTACCCCAAGGTATTTTCTGTTAGAATTAGTTTCTGTTTCAGTGCCCTCTTTGATACAAACATCTTGTGAACGACACAGTTCTTGCAGTTCACGCTTATGAGTGAGGGGAAAGTTAACTGCCTGACATTTTGAGGGATTTAACGCAAGACCACGTACCTTAGACTACAGACAGGAACCAGTTAAGTTTGCTGCAGTCACATTGTAACATGACACGAAGTGAGACGGTCAGATCACCAGTGTATTTGACGAAGTTGCTCTGATTAGAAGGAGAAAAGTCATGTAAGACGAGAGAGAAAAAAGAAAAGGAGTGATAAAAATAGCCCGAGGAACACCAGCTTCAGCAAGCGAGGCGGAAGATTTACCCTAATATACAGTATGCTGCATTCCATTTGAGAAATGATAATGCAACCAATCAACTGCCCAGGACCCAAGTTTGCACGATCGAAACCTTATTCAACTAAAGTCATCTAGGCGCTGAGTCAACAACAACGGCGAATGCTGAATGAACGAAAGCTAAGCACAAAAGTGACAAAGCACAAATCCAGTTGCAAAGTAGGAGACGAGTCCCGGGTGGAAGAAGAGATTACTGAAAGGTATCTATTTTTCATTTGGCAAAGAACAAGATTAAGAACTACACTTATCATTTGTTGAAATTTTGGAGATCATTTATCAATGTTTCGCATTTAGTTATGCCCAGACTGTGTCATTCTGACTAGCTTTCAGTATGAGTTTGCAGAGAAGTCCACCTGTTTAATTTACCACATTTCATGTAGCACACAAAGGTAGAGACATAAAACTAAATGGAAGTTTAACGAGCGAAAATGTGAGGGAGAATAAATAGTGACAAGGAAAAACATGAGTTGAATAAATACGTAAGATTACACAGAGTGAATGCAGGTGTACCAGTGCCAAAGATTTGCAGTCACATCTCCGGTAGTTCTTCAAGCTGACTGTCAACAATTTTATGAACCAATATCACTTTTTCATTTGACCGACCCAAACACATTTTAAACCTTAACATGTGCTGGCTAGCATTGTCCCTGGAGAAAGGCGATGGCTTTGTATGCCAGCACGTGTTCTAGCCATCTCAACCTATTCAGCTTCCCTACCTTGAAGACTAACCCTCCCCACCTAAACATTTATGCGTAACCTCAACAGCACTCGCCATATTACACTGCTTTACTCATGAGATAGAACGCGGACACCTATAATCAAATACCGGTATTATTTTCATATTTTACAGCATCAGAGGTTACTTCTCATAGTCTAGGTGGACAATATCATCAGTAAACTGTGAGTTGATGAGACTATTCCCTGATAAGTCTCTAAAGTCAATTACAGATTATTCTACTAATATATGTGTGATTGAATTGAACTGATATAAGGATGACAGTTTAAGAATTCAGCCTTGTATTACATCCCACTCGGAAATGTGTTTTCTCGGATAATTCGCAAACAGTATTCAGTGAATAAAAAACATTCTGTTGGCTTAATGAAACTCGTAAACTGACGCACTACTTTTGCAGGCACTATAGTATTTCCTCAATAAAGTGAGAATTGAATATTTCGGCTGCATAAAACGAGTAAGTAGTATCCTGGGAATACCAATGACTACAACAAGTCTAGGAGTTATGCACTACAACTTTTACTTTACTGAATACACCAGCAGACTTTACATAAACACTTGACAGATCAAATTTATGCAGGAAGTCAGTAAGATTTAGTAAACTAAAAGTGCTTTCGGTTTCCACAGGAGTTCTCCGTGCCGAATTTATTCCTTCAAGGGCCTACAGAGATTAATTCTTCAATTAAATACCACTGACGTGGAAGAAATTCCATTCTTCATTACTACACTTAATGAAAAGAATCATGTTTTTTATTTTAAAAACAGGAGCATTCGTAATGTTTTACTTTATGTAAATGCAGTTACATACAGTTGCACTAAGAACTCAACGCAGCTCGATACACAATAGTATATATACAAATAAACTGAAAAATAATGTCCTCCTTACCTTCTGAACAACTTGTCCTTATTCCAGGATTATACTTTTTTCACCTATGAGCCTGAGTTACGTCTACGAAATAGCAATATTACATCAGTTAAATCTTCCCCCAAAACCAAGGCCACTTGAAACCAATAGCAACATAGCAACAAGCGTCATTGAGGGGATATGCAATAAAGTCGCTCCGCCAGCCACAGTATAAGGCCAAACTTTGAGCCATAAATACATAAATTAATGAAAATAATGAATCAAAAGGCATGAAACTGTTATACAGGGAACCCTTCTCTGATGTATGGCGAAAAAACTTTTGGTTTTGGATTTGGGTAACACATTTTATGTTTTCTCACTGCGGAGTGATGGTTGGATAGTTTCTGTTGCTAGTTTTGGACTAAGTGAAGTATATATTGTATATATGTGTATATATGTTCGTCGGTGGCACAGTCGTTAGGATTCTCGCCAACCATGCACATGGTCCGGGGTTCGAGCCCTCGCCGACGCACACCTGATATCTATGGTCGGCCTGCGAAATTTGGGCTACCGGTATCCACGCTAAAAATTCCATATGTGTACCAAAAATACGGTGTGGAATCAAGCTGTGATCAAAAATATTGGTGTGACATCAAAAGTGCTAGAGATTTCCTAGAATCCTGGTTCTCAAGCGATTATGCAATTAACAAACATGTTAATATAAACGAAATCTACCAACTAATAAAAAGTGAATCAAGCCAATAAAAAATTATCACTACGGATGTAAAGATAGTTACCAGGAGACGCAATTCTATCACTAATGGAAAATTAAAATCAGTGCACTTTATGCTAAAAATTTAGCTGAAGATGTCCAGCAGGACGATGAAAGCTCCGCGACTAAACCAAACAGCTGAGAGAACACTATTAATTGCAGAACTACTAATTACAAAGTTAAACTACCACATTCAAAGTCCCATTGACCTTGGATGACCATTTAGTATAAATATGCGAAAAATTCGCATAACCGTTGAAAAATACACTAGAGAACATTGAAAACTTGATATCACCCTCTATGGTTGTAGCTTAAACGTTGTAGGGATGTCTCTCGAGTAATAGACGAATGATCTATATCATTTCAAAGCGCACCTCAGTAACGCACATTTTATACTAGCCTCAATGTTGATGCATACGAAATCTACCAATCACAATGGGCATAAGTGACCTTCAGGTGCTCAACCTATCTTCAAGCCATCTACGCCGTTCTCGTACGTCGTTTCCCGCTACCCATTGCCTCTGACGTGTTCTAACGCTGATCCTTTAGAAGTTAATACCAAGGTGACTGAGTGATATAATTTGCGCACTATTAATTCTATCAATTGTTATCATTTGTAAAGGTAAGTCGTGTTTTGTGTTTTTCACTCATTTCGCATTTAATTCCCACCCACATGAATATTTTGTCAGTAGCCTGACCCGTTTCAACACACCACTCACAAACCAAACTAGGACCCATCACTATATAATCCATTAAGTTCTCATTTGTGACTTGGTAATTTAGTCCCCTATTTATTTTTGAAAAAAGCACGGAATCATTAACTCCTATTATCGGGTTTCAGGAGTCCACATTTTTTGACTGCGCCGTCAATCGGATCCTCCAAGAGGAGATTAGACAACCACATACACTGTTTCTAAAGAACTGAAATAACCTATGCGTCTTGTGTTTTGAAGCAAAGCCCCGGTGTTTGATTAGTTATTCTCTGTAGGGTGTCTTCAAACAGGCTTTTCAGTAAGATGAAAACACAATTACAAACAACAGAAAATTAATTAATGCTATTATATTCACAAGCATATGGGATAATAATCTTGGGATCCGATAATAATTGCTACTTAGTCTCACAAACGTAACCGACTTATGGGGTCTGTTTGAATCAGTCTTCAACAGTATCTCTCTATGATCCGTACCTTAAATGAGATGCTCTAATAGTTTTCCTTAATGTAATTTATAACACCACAAGATAACTATAGCTGGACTGGTAGTTTAACTTGATTTCCTTCTGTTTACATATCTTATATTCACCTCTCTAATATCGACGTGCAAAGCTTGATTCTTGTAAACCGTTGACGTGCGATAGTGAGTGTGTATTTTTCGCTAAGAAAGATATTCCGCTAATTGGATTTCGTCCATCTTGGGTTTTATTAACACCTGAAGTCTTGAAAGCGTTTGTAGTTTAGAAAGCATGTGTGCATAAACTTTATTTTAATGAGTTATTCGCATTTTAGTGGTTCTCATTGTGGATGTTGAATTACTTCTCAGCTAGAAGTATCATGTCTATATGTGTGATTTTAAGCCACAATGGATGGATTCACTTGTATTTACATTGTAGTTTGTAAACATCACATTCACGAATGACCACCTGTTGCAGGATTGATCCCACCCTTAAGTCTAAGGCTAAAATGATAAACTTCTTTATGAAAGTTATAGTAAGTATCATATCTAGGGTTAGCAGTCTAATGTTATTGGTAGTCTTGTCAGCGAATGTTAACAGCACTAATGTTTACGAGATTATAATATATGTTCCGGTGACAATTGTATTTTAACTTAGAATCTTCACGTAACTTAAGATGTCCAGGCAATCTTCATATTCTCACCTTCCAATACACTGTACAACCAATGAAAAGTGAATCACTGGAATACAATTTTGATATTTTTGCTCAGCGTTCCCTAAGCTTAATTCTATCTTGTTTTCGAATTTAAATACGTTATGCGCATAATATCGTGATATTAACATAGACTTCGAGCAAGTGACAAATGTCTTTTTATAAACATATTTCTCAAGTGTTATACCACTTGTGATTTCGGTTTCACTCTGTCTGAAGGTTGAAACGTCATACTTCTCTTAAGTCCACCTCTAAAGTAAAATCTTTCCGTAGTATGGTTACATAGCTTAAATGTCATACCTGTTTCTGAAAGTTGGCAGCTTGCCGTTATCACTATTATCAAGATCTTGTTAACTGACAAAGAATTCTACTTTTTCTAACATCTTTGACAGATAAAGAAAAAGAAAGTGGGTGTACTGATTAAATGTAGGGAACTCTATGCTATTGCAGTTATTAACTGTGATTAAGATCAATATTTTGGGGACTCGATTCGACTACTCAGTATGAACTATCTGAACTATCTCAATCGATTAAGGCTTATATTCGCTTCCTGACATTTCTTGTCAGCTCAACGTTACTTATGTATTTTACAGTTCAGTCATATGATGTAATTCACATTTAACTAGGGTTATTCAAATATTCTTCTGAAGATGTATAAAAACCTTAAAATTATCAATTTTTTCATCTGAATAAAGAGTCTGCATACATCCTTATCCTGCTATAAACTAAACTAGTCACCATATTAGTTTGTTTATTAGGTATATCACACAGTGAAGCAGTATTATTGTTCACTGGATGACGTTTTGAACAACATTTACTACTGTTCATAATCATGTGATCAATTATAATCACACGACTTCGAAACTTCCGTTTTATAGTTTTCTCTGTTCTCTCCTATTTTGTCGTCGTTGGGGTAGTAGAATTTTCCAGATCTTCGACTGGACAGGTGTTGAATCATTCCTATTACATGTGTTTGCAGTTGATTCGACAACACCAACAATAAGGAATCTAAATCATCAGTAGTAATTCCATACAAGGAAGGAACCTCGAAAACCTTACGCAGAATTCTTAACAATGCTGGCAGAAATAAAAGTGGCTATCATTCAAATCACCTACAAACTCAATTAAAAACAAGCTTTGTCGGTTAACGCATCTTGTCAGTGGAGCCAATAAAACAAAACAATTTCGTTTATCTAATACTCTGCAATGACTCAGGTCAAATACATAGGTCAAAGTAGTAGGACAGGGACAGTCAGACTAACTGAGCATAAAAACCTAGCAAAATCTAGATTAGCTGACCCGAATAAGATAATGAATCTAGAGAATAGTTCAGCTATACCACTCACTACATGCAATTCTCTGTCTGTCTATCTGTCTGTTTTCGACATAGAACTTTGCACAAATGTGCGCCAGTTCAAGTCGCCACACTCCATGTAGCACGCGAAGCAAGAGAAGAAAGTACAAGAAAAGCATAATAGAGACAGTGAGCAGAGGTGTGAGACAAAGGAGTAATAACGAAGAACAAAACAGTTTCATTGGAGATCATAAATCACAAGGAGCGGATGCATCTGAGTCAGCCACTGAGGACGATTTTGAGCCATGTCACCAATTGTTTCCAACCATAGATTTTTACCGTCCCGAGGACCCCAACCAGTCAGGAAGTCTACACCTTCCTATGTGGCTTAGACCAACTGTTGTGGATTTCATTGACTGGTGCCAAGTTTTTGTTTGACCTCCGCTAGCTTTTTTCCAGCCTGACCCTACATCCGCTAACATTGCTCGTCGAGGGAGGCGATGACTTGGCATACGCAACACATGTCCTAACCATCTCAGTCTTTGTAGCTTCACGACTTCGTCGATTGATTTCCCCTGTTTACCTAGCACTCGACGCCTAACTTCAATGTTGCTCACCTTATTATGCCACCTTACACGGGAAATAGAGCGCAGGCGCCTATGATCAAAGACAGCTAGTCTTTTCATGTCTTCCACTCTCAGTGGCCAGGTCTCACAGCCATAAAGGAGGACGGAGCGGACTGATGAGCAGTACACCCGCCCTTTGGTCGATAGTCGGTGGCACAGTGGTTAGGACTCTCGCCGACCATGCACATGGTCCGGAGTTCGAGCCCACGCCGGCGCACACCTGATATCTATGGTCGGCCTGCAAAATTTGGGCTACCGATATCCATGCTGGAAATTCCATACTTGTACCAAAAATACAGTGTGGAATCAAGCTGTAAATCAAAAATAAAAAAAAATAGTCGAACATCTCGTCTACGCCAAAGTCTGCGTAAACTGGCAAATGCGAAACGAGCCCCCTGTATCCGTGCTGAGATTTCGTCAGAGATCAACCCGTTGGCACTGGCTGATGATACTTCCCAAATAAGTGAAGCGGTCAACGTGCTCTACCACATCACTTTTTATTTTTAAACTAGGCGTCGATGTAGTCCAATCCTGTAACATCGTCTCGCATTTGGCGGGAGCGAATCGCATGCCGAACATTCGTAGATTACGGCTCAAGGTGTTGAGAAGACTCTGCATTTTGTCAGTGTCTTCGCCTAGAAGGACTATATCGTCTGCATATTCTAAGTCAACGATATTAGTCTCTGGTAGCAAGTCAATCCCTGAGTCGCTGAAGTCACTTAGGGTTAAGTCCATTAACACATCTATGATGAAGTTGAATAGAAAAGAGGATAATGGGCATCCTTGACGGACACCACTAGTCGTCACCAGTTCAGATGACAGCTCACCGTGAGCCCTCACCTGACTGTATGAGTACGAGTAGAGTGCCTTAATCAGTGTAATATATTTTCTCGGGATTCTCTTTACAGCCAAGCATCTCCAGAGAACTTTTCGATCGACAGAGTCGAATGCTGCCTTTGGGGCAACAAATATAATGACTGTTGGATGCCGGTAGGAATGCCTATGTTCTAGAATCTGTCGGAGGGTGAAGATATGATCAATACACCCTCTTCCTGGTCTAAAGCCTGCCTGGCTCTCTCGTGTTTGTGCCTCCCTAGCACCACTCAGTCTACGCATGATTATTGAGCCTAGGACTTTAGATACTATATTAGTCAAGCTAATCCCTCTGTGATTATCACAGGAAGACTTGTCTCCCTTCTTGTATATGGGGATAATCAGTGACTTACACCAACCCGATGGGACTTCTTCTGATTCCCAGAGGCTGCCTAGTACCTCAGTTAATGCAGACAGTAAACTGTTTCCACCGTACTTAAATACCTCTGGAGTCATTCCATCAGGTCCCGCTGCTTTGCCTAGTTTCAGATTGGTGACAGCTTTAGTAACCTCAGTTAGGGATGGAGGACCTGTGTCTATATCCCATTCAGGGAGGTGCTGGATGTTCGGAAGGTTGAGCGTGGCTGTGGGCCAATTAAACAGCTCCTCATAATGCTCTTTACAGCGATCCAGTCGTCTATCCTGGGAGCTAATTATAGTGCCGTTTTTCTCCGAGATTGTTTCACCAATGATTTGTCTTCTCCCACCCGTTTCCCTGATGAGTCTAAATAGTTGTCTGGTGTTGCCTATCCTCGAAGCTTTCTCCATCTCTTTGGCTTTTGTCGCCCACCACTGTTCACGGTCCTTGCGGAGACTTTTCGTAATTTTGCTCTTGTGCAGCTTTCGCTCCTCATTGAATTCGGAGCTCGCCGGAATAAGTCTTCTAGCATCCATCAGTTCGGATGAGGCGGTGGAGATCCAGTGGTTTTTACTCACCTTTGGGTTTAACTTATTCACAGCTTTTACAACTGTATCTATGGCTGCCTGGATATTTTTCCAAGCTTCTTCAGGGTGAGCACAGCTGTCGAACACATATGTGTTTAGCTAGTTCATCCTCAAATAGGGATTTAGTTTCCTGATCGAGCTGGGGACGTGATGGGTTTGCCGCCAGCTGTTTCCTACGTCCGTTCAGTCGTAAGCACACCCGAGCGCGGATCAGTGCGTGGTCGGTATCTACACACGTGTTCCAGAAGTAGCGACAATCTCCTCCGACCCACGCCAACGATAGCTTATTGCTATGTGGTCTATTTGTGTCCAGCGTTGGTTTGATGAAGGGGGTCTCCAAGTCAAACAGTGTCTCTCCTTGTGTTTGAAGTTAGTGCTTACAAGAAACAAATGATTATCAGAACAGAACTTTAGGAGACGGTCACCGTTGTCGGTCCGCTGGCACGGGACTCCATAGGTCCCACCGACATCCTTCTCAGATTGACACAATTTCCCTATTTGAGCGTTAAAGTCACCAGCTAGAACGACTATGTCTGAGCGTTTAGGCTTTCGCACCAAACAGCATGCAATTACACAACCATACAATAGGCTGGATGGGATAAGATGACAGTTTTAAAATTTAATGTCACAGGGTGGAAGGAGAGATTGATAACGAAGCTCTGTTTATCGAATCAAATTGGAGAGAACAAAGAAAAATATAAAACTGAAGTTTCAAAGTCGTGTGGTTGTAATTGATCACATGACTATGAACAATAAATTTTGTTAGAAACATCATCCAGTAAATAATACTGCTTCATTGTGTAATGTATCTAATAAACAAACTAATATGGAATTACTTATTACCACAGTGCCCAAGTTTTACACGTATATAAACTAGTCACCTTTATTTTTCACAATAGAAAAATACCTCCTAAGACGGTCTAGTCATATATTGTAAAATCAGATACAAGTGACTACTAAACACTTATGGAAGCTGTTTGTTATCATCAATTCAAAATGATATCTTTCCGTAAACTTTCACAACTCTGCATACATATAAGTTGAGTGTTTTGCTTGCAAGTTAGAAAATATCATAACCTTTGACTGACTGACGGGTTTCAACATAAAATTTTGCACAGGTGGAGTCGCCACTCTTCATATACTACACAAAGCAAGAGAAGAGTGATAATAAACAGAAGAATGAGGCAAAAAGAATAGTAATATGGAAGAACAATAGGGTTTTATTGAATATGACAAATGACGAAGGGTGAATACATCTGCACCAGCTATTGAGAAGGATTTTCAGCTATATCACCAATTGTCTCCGACCTCCATTGGTTCTTACCATGCCGAAAACCCCAAGCAGTCAGGAAGTCTACACCCCCCCCTCCTACATGACTGTCTTAAACTACCTGTCATCGATTTCATTGACTGATGAAGCCATATTTTGGTTTGACCACCACTAGCCGTCACGTTTCCAACCTGATCCTATGTTAGCTAACACTACCCTTAGAGGAAGGCAATGGCTAGGCATGCTCAACATGCTCCTAACCATTTCAGTCGGTGTAACTTCACAGCCTCACATTGTAACCTTTGCTTCTATGGGAGACTTTATATTTTACCATCTCGTTCTGGATGAGTATCACTGTCTTGCTCAGATCAGTGTGTATACAACTGCCTTAATTTATAGCTGTCAAAGCGATGGAAGTTGATTTCTTGATGAGTTTGAAACAAAGGTTTGTTCCGCATCATCAGAGTACTTAAGGTATATATATATATATATATATATATATATATATATATATATATATGAAGCTTATACAGCTTGTTTAAATGCTAGAAGCTCTCAAGTTGTGCTCATACAAAAGCCCTCACCATCAATTATATCTGGCGTAGGGCAAGTCAGAATCCGCAGTTTTTGTTACCACTTTTTCCCAACTCATTACTATAGGAAAGTATCATTGCTGGCGCTTATTCGTGTACGCAAGGGGACACTATACCCTTAAAATCCAAAACTTCTTTATAGTGATAGCGATTCACATCACAACGATAAACACTTTTATTCTCCCAGTTATCTATCCTATCATTTGGGCTTACTAAGACCCATGAAGACAAACAATGTAGTTCAAGTTCATTGCAGCATGCAACCTAGAATCCCTTTATGTAATATTTTAATTTTTATACAAACCCAATTGACTAGTAGATTAGGTTATTTCAATATATTTACTGACTAGTATTTTATAATTGATTGCTTGGACACTCTTGTCATTGTTGATACAACTTTTTAAGTCGTTTTTCCGACGTCCATAAAGGTAATTAGTATTCTCTTCCTTTTATTTACCTTCAATATCTTTTTCTTAGCATTATTGTGATGCTCTTTTAGACTTGAAAATGAAGAGATCTGATGACATGGATCGAAACTGGCTATTTTATCTCGCTCAACCAACTAAATTAGCAGTGGATATTGAAGAACTAACCATAACACACAAATTGGAACTCCTTAAACAGGCCTTATCACAAGCTGAAATTAGCGAGCGAAAAACCAATCTTGGCAATTCTGAAAATGGTTCCTCAGATAACTTCTCTACAGAAAATGAAGCAATACATCCAGATGACGTATTCACAGAGTCATCAAAATTGTTTAAAAAGTCGAAAGTGTTGGATATAATGTCTTTACAGATTGCTGCAAATCTAAAATTCAGTTTAAACTTGTTTCGCGTTGTGTCGGAGATGCCTACAAAGCTTTATGCACGTTTGTATAGACTGTTGGTCACGTATACTGCAAAATTTTCTCAAATTCTTCAACCACAATTTGAACAGGCAATAAATAAAGAAAATATTTTCATCATAAATCCTTATGGTTATTTCACATGGTCTCAGTTGAATCCTGTGACAATATATGGTATAATGTCTTACCATATTTGGTGCCTTCATGTACGTTCATTCATTTTTATAATGCAAAATATTATTTAGGTTTCTCTTACATCCAGTATGTTGCCCCAACCGTTTCGAAATCTTACTCCAATTGTTTCTGGTTTAACTGAAATACCCGAGGTAACATTTTTTGCTGATAATCGTGTTGAAGTTGGTGTTATTCTTACACGTATACAAGAGTCAGTAAATCAATTAAGTGAGATCAATGATCTGTTAGAAGATATCAATATAGCCAGACCTCTTTCATCAGTATTTTCGACAACAGAGTCGATATTTTCTGTTTTTAGTGAGCTGTCGTCAAATCCAGAAGATCAAAATTCAAACTTATCAGATTTTGTTTTACAGAATTCAGAACCTCTTTCCAAAAGTTATCTTTCTGCATCACTGAATTTTGTACTGGGACGTTATGCTTTTCAACAACAGGAGTTTCATCGATCACAAGAGCTTTTTCAAAAGACCCTCAATGAAATGCAACTGCAGAACGTATGTTAAATACATAATTATTTCGAAATAATTCTTATCTACACATTTATAAAAGTAATATTTTGAATTACTGATTTAAACGTTACTGTTCTCCTCACGACAGTTTAGTGTTCAGTTTAGATGATGCTTACTGTAATGTTTGCCACTCCGGCTGTTTCCACTCGTAGAGATATGGTTCATTGGCTTAAGCACAAGACTTTCGATCAATGGATTCCTAGTTTGAGTTCCACTTCAGCTTGGGCAACTGAATAGCATCATTATCCTTCACACAATGAGTGTAGCTGATAGTCCCCATGCAGTACTGAGCATCCACTGTATGAAAGTGGTCTTTGTGGTAAAGAGATCGTTTGTCTGATGTCACAGTAATTAGGAATTTGAGATCACCGATCCTTGAGTAATTAATTATTCTCATAGAATGATGTTTTTGTTGAATTCTATACGAAAAAAATAAAGTGTTAGGATTTGAAAAAACATTACTGTCTCACTGAGGTTGTGACAGGATTAATCAAAGTGAAGCCTATAAACATTACTCAACTAGATCTGCATTGTGTCTGTGTGGATGGTAATAGGAATTTAGAATTGCCTGACAAAGTCAATTCATCACTTCATACAGTCAGTATTATAAAAGTTTTTGAAGATGATAAAAATGAGTGCGTTTTATTGTTTTATTCAGAATGATGCGTATTTTTAAATTCTTCATTGTCATCAGTTGGCTACAAGCTGTAAAGATTAACAGACGTGCATCAAAATTTAAGAAATTTTATAGTCAATAGAGGGATAAATAAAATTGTTTGGAGAGCAGTTTCGTATCATATGAACATTGATTGATGATGAACACATATCAGCAAAAAAACTTTTTCAGGTATTAAGATAAGATAAGATTAGCTTTATTCCAAATCAGTACTTGTGATACAGAATGGAATTCTCAGGATTTTACTACAAATATTGCATCCAGTTGTTACATTAACAATAAATAAAGTTCTACATAGATTAAAGTTATCTCAGTCAGTTTTGACAACAACATATTAGTATGTCGGTAGCAAAGCCAAAATTAAAAGTGTTTGAAGGTGTTAGAAAAGTAGATACTACTATCATATTTACTGGCGTAAGCGATAGCAAAATGGTCGAGATATACAGAGTGTGAAAGAACGAACAAGAATGTTTTAAGTAGAGTTTGCAAGGAAAAGAGAAACAAAGCAGCACATAACAAAAATAAATACAGAATGAAGAGCGAGAAAACGTTGTACCTATAAATGATGTGAGTTGGAAAGACGAGATCCATTGGTTCTACTGACTATTTAATAAGTTAAAGGTTTCATGCCTGATGCATTCTTTATCGCACAGAACACGGGCTAGATAGGGTATGGATGAGTTTTTGTACTTACTAGTACGGGCATATAGTTTCCTATATAGGCTTCTGGTTTTCCCTGAAGAGATACATGGGGAGAGTTGTGAATGTAGAGGGTGTTGTGAGTCAGATAAAATGGATTTCGCCCATTTTTCACATGAGTCCATGTGCCTGTCCACCAGAATATTAACAAGCTGGCTAAGTGGCAAACTGCTTACCCTGCTGACAACCTTTAACATCCTACGTAATAAGGTATAGTCTTTCTTCAATAGCCCAGGAAAGACTAAGGGGGAGCAATAGAGAATAATAGGCAGAATACGGGAGTTAACAAATTGTAAGAGTAAGGGTTGGGTTACACCAGAATGTCTTAACTTCTTGATGTAGAAGGTAAGACGGTATATTTTCTTGGAAATCGTCAAGATATGAGACGACCAGGAAAGATCAGAAGATAGAGTGACGCCTAGGTATTTAACTTCCGACTTGGTTTCTATTTCACTGGTTTGTAGGGATTTTGTTTGATTGGTTGGAGGATTTCATCATAAGCTGATATATCGGTTAGAGAACCATTGGAAGAACTGCATGGAGTACTGGACAGCTGTTTCGTCCTAGTTCATGGCTCTTCATCAGCACGCGCCCACTGGGGCACGAACTCAGGACTTTCTGGTCACAAGGCTAGCGAACTCGTAGTCCATTAAGCCACTGGGAAATAATCCGATGGCCCACGAATTCTAACTCCTGCCAATTCACTTAATTGGATTGGGTCCCAGTGGCTTAATGGTCTACAAGTTCGCTAGCCTTGTAACCCGAAGGTCCCGATTCAAACCCCGATGGGGGTATACTGCTGAGGAGCCATGAACTAGGACGAAACAGCCGTTCAGTACTCCATGCAGTTCTTCCAATGGTTCTCTAACCGATGTATCAGCTCATGATGAAATCCTCCAACCAATCAAACAAAATCCCTGCAAACCAATATTCGAAATATTGGTGTGATGCTCACTAGCGACTTACTCTATTCAAGCAGTTACCCGGGGTTCTAGTGGGAATCCGTGACCATTAGAGTACAGCAGGTCGAAAGTGAGGACAGTTACTCATCAAAGACATTGCTATGTGGGCGATCCTTTTCAAATGACCCATGAATTCCAACTTCTACCAATTTGTAATGAATTTCAGTGCGACTGGCACCAGCCAATGTCACTGTTGGCAACTATTTGTCCTCATACACAACCTGGTGGATAACCCCAACGGTTAAATCTTCTCGTTAGAACTCCAGGTAACTTCTTCCTGTAGTCAGCCAGTCAATGGCGAGCACCAGATTGATTTTCTAGACTTAGTTTGTAGGGATTCGATTTATTTTTTCAAGTTTGATGGCGGATTCGTATCAGTTAGAGAACCACTGATATCAATCCTTGGTTAAACCTGAAGTAAATCAAACCCCTAGAAACTAACTCTTGAATAAAGAATTATAGTATATAACAATAAACTTGTAAACTTTTATATGGTTGTCACCGCATATCTCATTCAATACTTATCGAACTAATAATCTGTAATTATTTTTATGAATCTTTATTCCAGTCAATATTTATCTTTCCATTTCCTTTTCTAGTTTACTTATCTGAATGAGACTGGAGCTACACCGAGATTAGTACAGGCCTACTTAACTGCATGTTTATCATATACACCCGCAGACCATATTTCAGATGATAACGCCTCAATTCCTCAATCTGACGATGAATTTTTACAATATTTTTGTTCAGAACTAGAAAAATGTTCTTCATCATTAGAAGTGAATAAAAATCAAGTGATGAATGTATTTTGGACTCAAATATGGAATTCTATTGACAGTGTCCAGTCAGAGTCGTCTTCTGATAAACACCTACTTACAATTGAAGACCATCTTTATGAAATTCTACTAAAAGGATTAATTCCTGTGAATGATGATTCTTCTAATTCATATATTCCGATTAGTTTAGGAATTCGTCACAAGTTAGAGAATTTATGCTTAAAACTGTTGAATGCTTATAATAATTTATTGATGAATTCAACTGATACAACTAATACAGGAGTTGCACAGTCTACAAAGCAGACAAAACAAGCTAAGTCATCCCTTGATGATAAAATATCAGATTTCATTGCTGTACACCAACTTTTCACTAAGGTATGTGATAACAATTGTGAGTAAAGTAATAATGTTTTTCGTAAATTTTAAGTTGTTTGAACTAGCCTGTAAGTATCTTTACCATATAGTGAAATGGATATTCTGTCTGTTTTCAAAATAGAACTTTGCACCGATGTACAGCAGTTCAAGTCGCCACACTCCTTCTATGTAGCACACAAAGCAAGAGAAGAAAGTAAAAAGAAATGCAAAATAGAGACAAATAGACAGGGATATGAGACAAAAGGAATAGTAATAACAAAGAACAATATAGTTTCGTTGGAAATTCTAAGTCACAAGGAGTGGATGCATCTGCACTAGCCATTGAGAACGATTTTGAGTCATATCACTGATTGTTTCCAGCCATTGGTTTTTAAAGTCCCGAGGACTCCAACCAGGAAGTCTACATCTTCCTACTTGGCTTAAACTAACTGTTGTGGATATCATTGACTAATGAAGCCATGTTTTGGTTTTTTTTGGCGATGACTAGGCATACGTAACACATGTCCGAATCATCCCAGTCAATGTGGCTTCACAGCCTCGTGGAATGATTTCCCCTCCTTACCTAGAACTCAAGGCCTAACCTCAATATTGCTCACCCTATTATACCACTTCACACTGGAGATAGAACGCAAGCACCTATGATCAAAGACAGCTAGTATTTTCATGTCTTCTTCTCTCAATGAGTAGGTCTTACAGCCACAAAGAAGGACGGAGCGGAGTGCTGAGCAGTACACCCGCCCTTTGGTGGTGGATAGCTGGATATCACCTCTACGCCAGAGACGGCGTAAACTGGCATATGCGAAACGAGCCCCCTGTATCCGTGCTGAGATTTCGTCAGAGATCAACCCGTTGGCAGTGGCTGATGGTACTTCCCAAATAAGTGAAGCGGTCAACGTGCTCTACCACTTCACTCCTTATTTCTAAGCTAGGAGTGGATATTGTTAGAAGAACACTACTCGAGTCGTCTATAGCTAGATTTGCTTCCTCATTTTCACCGGAATTGTTGTATGCTCGGTGTATGAGGTATGTGTGTATATACTTCAGTCAAACAAGGGCGAAAGTATCAGTCCCTACTGACAGCTGCTTCATTGATGTGGTGGTCTGGCTTGCATTTCACGATGATACAACAAGCTACACTGGCTGGAACTAATGTCCCTATAGTTCATACCATGTCAGTAACATTGTTTGGATAGCGATTAGACTAAAAGCAGTTACCGTCATAGTGCGGTTAGTTTAAACTATATTGGGGAGTGGGTCGGTGGGTCTATGGGCGAAGTCGTACTGCTGCTGGCGAATAGTGACGTAACAACGGTAAGGTGTTTCCCTTAGCTGAGCAGCAAGCCAGCTAGCTGTGCTGTCTGTCCACTCTAGGGATGGGAAGGGATGTTAGAAGAGGTCAACCCCACAAATTGTTCATCTCAACTTACCTTGTGGCTGCCCGTAATCATCGGTAAGATATTAACATTGACATAACTCCAAAAATTAATTCAAACAAGCTGTGTGTGTGTGACCAGTTTCAAGTAGCTGCCCTATGGGCTAGTCGTTGTTAGACACAAACAGACTATATTTCCACCCAAAGTTAAAGATAAAAGTTCATTCGAAGTTGATCGTTGGGATCACTGTAACACCATAATTGTGTATGAAAACGGATAACATTAGGTTTACACTGTTACGTTGTCTAACCATAAACTTTGACTATGGTACGAAATGTTATATGAACGCTTCTCTTATTCTGAATATCCAGTAAATAATTCATTCACTTGAACTGATCCAGTTATTTAAATACATAGGTTGAAGAAACTAAATACATCAATTAATTTCGTCCGAAGTTTGATTTCGGATTTATATCAGTTAGAGAACCATTGAAAACCAGTCACAGGGAGTACTGGACAGCTGTTTCGTCCTAGTCTGGGATTCTTCTGTGACCAAACTAACCCTTGAAAATCAATCTGGTGCTCGCCGTTGACTGGCTGACTACAGGACAAATTTACCTGAAGTTCTAGTGAGAAGTCGTAACCGGCGGGGTCATCCACTAGGTCGTGTGTGAGGACAAATAATCGCCAACGATGACACTGGCTAGTGTCAGTGGCGCTAAAATGGCGAATTGGTAGAAGTTGGAATTCATGGGTCATTTGTAAGGGGTTCCCCAATGGCTAAATGGTCTACAAGGTTGCCTTTTAACTGTGAGAACGTTGTTTCGAACCGTGGCGTACTGTCGATGAATCACAGACCAGAAGGAGACAGCTGTCCAGTACTTCCCTGTTGGTTTTCATTAGTTCTCTAACTGATATCAATTCATGACCATCCTTGGGACAAATAAATCCCTTCAAGCTGACTCTTGTAGAATGATAATATCACATTGGTCAAATGACACTGTACTAATTTTTAGTAGTTCTGCAACTAGTAGTGTTCTCTGAGCTGGTTGGTTTAGTTGAGGAGCTTTCGTCATCCTTCTGGACACCATCCTCAGCTCAACTTTTAGCATAAAGTGAGTTGATTTAAATTTTCCATGAGTAATAGAATTGCGTCTCCTGGTAACTATCTTTACATCTGTATTGACAACTTTTTATTGACTTTAATTTTAAAATTTCTCATCATATGATTTACTTTTTATTAGTTTGTAGATTTGGTCTACATTGACATGTTTGTTAGCCGCAGATTCGCTTAAGTACCAGGCTTCTAGGAATTCTCTGGCACTTTTGATGTTTTCTCTCTTTGAAATTTCTACATTATCCTAATCAAACTGATGTCCGCTGTTATCTCCATGCATTGATATGAAAGAATATATATCATGTCTTTTCACAGCTAATTTGTGTTCCTTGATTCTGATTCGAAGGGGAAGCCCACCTTGGCCGATGTTACAGTTCATACAATTTATTTTCTAAATTGTATTAATTTAATCTCCTTTTTCTGTTGGATCTTTCGGTTTGCACAATATCGAATGAAGTGATTGTGCTGGCTGGTTTGTGTGCTATATCTGTTTCAAACGGTTCCAGTATTCTAGCTGTTATTTCAGAGATGCTTTTTATTTATGGTAGGATGAATTTTCTTGTGGTCTTTGATGATGGTTCCTTGTTGTGGTGTTGGGATTCGAGTTTAAACACTTTTTGATGAAACTGTGAGAATATTCCTTCTTTTTAAAGACGGTTAGTGGGTATTTTTCCTCCATTCTTTTCAACGCTGGAGTTTTACAGTGTGTTTGAACTCTTTTAAACAATGTCTGCATACAGTTTCTCTTATGGGTAATTGGGTTATTGCTAGCATAGTTGAGTATTTGATCTGTGTGCGTTGATTTTCTGTATACTTGTGTTTCTAAATTTCCTGTGTTACTTCTCCTGATCAAGACGTCTAAAAATGGGATTTTGTTATCTAGTTGTTCTTCCCTTGTGAATTTGATGTCTTCATATATGTTGTTTATTAGTTTATGGGTATATTCCAATTCATTCCTTTTAATTATTGCAAATGTGTATTATTGGCGTAACGTATCTAGACTTTGAGGCTCATTATGGTTAGAGCTATTGATTCTAATCTTTGCATGATGGCTTCAGCTATTAATCCTGATATGGGCGGTTCCATTGGTGTTCCTTTTATCTGTTCGTATATTTGAGTAGTGAATTGGATGTGTGTTGTAAGACATAATTCTATGCTTTCTATCCAAGTTGAACATTGCGTTTTTTCATGTTTTCATCACTGCAGAGTAATAGTTGCATAGTTTATGTTGCTAGTTTTGGACTAATTGAAGTATATGATACTGTGGCATCCAAGGACAATTTTTTCCTTCACGTTCCCCGGTGGAACATAGGGCCTCAAACTAGTGGCTTGAAGTTATTGTAGCAGTGTTTAATTTTTAGAGGATGGGGTTGCTAGCCTCATGCCCAACCTTTCCTCTTTACCAGCATTATTTCTGGCTTAGTGAGGTAAAGGAGTGCGTCGGTGGCCGGGGATCGAACCTCGGATCATGTGAATGGTTGGCGAGCATCCTAACCGCTGTGCCACCGACTCACCGAAGGACAGCATGGTTTAATTGTCTCCCACTTGAATGTTTTTGATTTTCTCTAAAAATTCGATTGACAAATTGATAGAATGGGTTGCATGATTCTGTTAGGTATTTTAATTTCCACAACTAAACCAACTAGCTCAGAGAACACTACTAATTACAAATCATCCATCTGAGCTACAAATCTTCTCTATTATTTTAATAATTCTCTCACGCTGCTTGATTACTTTTGTTTTTGTTTTTTGTGTGACTTCTTTGCATTTGTTTTTCTAGATATATGTATGCAATTCAATTGAACGACTAATGTCAAATTCTGTGGAACATCCACTTATGTTGGTAACGGAATTATTAATAAATTTTGACAAAGAATTGACAAAGAATCAAACTGACAAATCAACGTCATCATCATCATCAGTGTTTCATATAGACGCTATTAAAGGACGTGAATTTCTATTCGATTGTCTCGCCACTATAATGCAAAGGCTGTCATCAAGCTTAAAAAATTATTCCACCTCTAACCAGTTTCTTATTATATGCCAGTATATCACTTTTTTAGTACAAGAAGGAATCTGTTCGCTCGGCAGTTTATCAATGATGAATAAACTGCATTATCATAAACAAAATTCTTATCTGCTTACAGTACAAAAGAATTTTCAGGATTTATTAGAAACGCTTGTATCTCATAAACTGGTATGTTGAACAATACTTACTTACTTGCTTAATTTATTCCTTCACGTTCCGAGTGGAACATAGATTTCCCGGCATAAAGGGCGAGAGGTTGCTAGCCTCACCCACCCCAACCTTCCCTGTTTTCTGGGCTTACTACCAGGCTAGGCGAGGGTTTGGCAGTGCGTCAGCAGACGGGAATCGAACCCTTGACCACGTGTATTGTGGTTAGCGAACGTTAGCACGTTGAACAATAAAAAATTAGATGTGAAATTATCTCACTTTTGATGTATTTCATAGTGTTTTCGTTGACTTAGTCATTACACAAGTCATTAGTAATAAGAGTTCAAAGTGTGCAATACGTCTGGTTATTTGAAACCACTTTACAGATTATTTGTGTATTAAGTCGTCTAGTATTCTCACTCTTCCAGCCGACCATCCCCTCCCCCTAATGTAAGGTTGTATAATAGCTATCATTCTCCAAATTATTATTTTTCATTTTGCTGTTATTGTGTTCGAAACACACATTAAGACTTATGCCCACCACCTCCCTCTGCACTTCCCGATAGGGATGCTTGCGTCTAGTGAGATCCATAGTCTTAGCCTAGGTATACAACTCAAATAAATTTAAGTTGACGGTCACTTCCACAAACTGTTTTATAACCTAGTGATTATATATATATATATATATCATGCATACCAGCTTTATAATCTCCATTCCTGGCATGAAAATGTAACTGTGAGGGTGAATCGTGCCAAAAATAAGGATTTTCATGAAGTATTTGTCTGACTTTTTAAAGTAGAAGTCAACAGTTTCGATGTAGATATACTATGGGGGATGGTTTAAATGTATATGTGAATACACTAAGTAAAAATTTAGTGGTGGTTCTTTCAGAATTTATTAGAATATCATAATCGCATATCGTATCTGCGAGTAAAATAACCATTGGTATCATTTTCAAGATATGAGGACGGCCATGAACTTAGTCACCGATCTACCTGTACTCAACAGCAAATTATTTCAGCACGAGAGAGAAAGAGAGAGTCAGTAGGGCACTGCAACATGTACATCATTCATTCAACTGAAGATTGCATATGAAATACCTTTGTTTATCACATATACAATAATGACTATCTGTCAGAACAGGTGGCCAAACCTGAAAACGTTACTGGTATTAATACCTCCTACCTGTTGTGTCTGTTGACACGTTTGGCTACCAGTACGGACGCTTCAACGATGTCTCAGGATTAAGTGAAATTAATTTTGGTGGATGGTGACTAGTATTGGAATCCAGGGTGCGCATTTCTTCATCCTATTTGGAGCTCGTCGTCAGCTGGATGTACTTGCATTCCTCAGTGAGTGATGGTGTTTCCGCACAGACTCGGACCCAGTATCGATCATTTCAGACGTCAAAATGTTATCCACTAGACCACTTAGGTGGAAAGTATTGGTCTACTTAGTCAACGGGATAATGAAAATTGACATAAAACCAAATAATAACGGATGCCTGTTGCAAAAAATGTGGTTCTCGTGGCCCAGGTGGTGTGGTGGATATTACCTTAGAATTTGAAATAATGGTTACTGAGTTCGAGCCTCAGTGGGAACACCACCGCTCACTGGGAAATGCAGTTACATCCAGTTGATGATGAATTCCAAGTAGAATGACGAAATGTGCATCCTGGATTCCACTACTAGTCACTATCCACTACATCTTGTACAACTCCTTATCTGTCCATAGAAAACTGTCGGGGTGGGAAGGTGTATCTCAAAAACTTTGTTCGAATTAACAGATGTACACAAAGTGTCTTCTAGAAAGTTCAACGAATATTGAATAATGAAAGCAGCTTTGATTTCAAGCACTGATCAAGAGAGTGACAGCTGATGGCTTAAAGGGAGAGAGAGAGCTAGGGCGATAATTATTTAAAGAAATAATAATAGTAATAATTGAAAAAGTGAACTGGTGAAATTCTGTCTCTGTCTGTCTGTTTTCGACATAGAACTTTGCACAAATGTGCGGAAGTTCAAGTCGCCACACTCCACTCCATGTAGCACACAAAGCAACAGAAGAAAGTAGAAGAAATGCATATTAGAGACAGTAAACAAAGGTGTGAGACAAAGGAGGAGTAATAACGAAGAACAAAACAGTTTCATTGGAAATCATAAGTCACAAGGAGTGGATGCATCTGAGTCAGCCACTGAGGACGATTTTGAGCCATGTCACCAATTGTTTCCAACCATTGGTTTTTACCGTCCCGAAGACCCCAACCAGTCAGGAAGTCTACACCTTCCTACGTGGCTTAGACCAACTGTTGTGGATTTCATTGACTGGTGCCAAGTTTTTGTTTGACCTCCGCTAGCTTTTTTCCAGCCGGACCCTACATCCGCTAACATTGCTCGTCGAGGGAGGCGATGACTTGGCATACGTAACACATGTCCTAACCATCTCAGTCTTTGTAACTTCACGACTTCGTCGTTGAGTCTCAGTACAGAAGCGCATTAGTTCCTTGAGATTCTGAAACACATCTTTTCCATCTATCCACGTCTTTTAATCAGTGTTTGTAATTGGGAGGGTGTTTTACAGACACAGCAACGACGTGAATTCCCTCTCACCACCCCCCTCTATCCCTGCTACATTTAGTTTTAGGACCAGAATTAAACTGTATTCTGAGGAATGCTTGACCACAGAAAAGTATTGTCTGAATGCAAAACACTCTTTTGTACACTTTTATTGCCTTAGTCTCTTATACTTACTACTAAATTTATCACCCATGGAAATCTTATACTAAAGACTTGAAATGTATTTGTACAGCTCATAAAAATTCGACTTATCATTTATATGCAGTGACTGTTTCTTAGGGATGTGTACTGTTCTCCGTTGTTTTTCGTCTGTAATGTTATTGACTCCAGTGTACATTAATCCACTTTGTATATATATATATATATATATATATATATATATATATATATATTTTAAATATTTCTAGTGGACACATCTACCAGTGCAGAATAGAAAATATATACAATCTATTTCGGAGGCAATAAGTTCTGCAAATTCATTTAGCAATGATTCAGATAGTGAGTATTCATGTTCTTTCAATCATAAATCCCTTACTGATCTTCCTGATCCTGATTATGATCTTGATTTTAACCTGTTTAATCTGGATGGAGGAGAGGATTTGCTTACACAAGGACCTGGATTTCGATTAAATCATGAGATTTCTTCACCGAAAGATCAAATTTCTGGACCATTTAAATCATCACATATGCCTAAAGGGAATTCTCCATTTCAAAGTGTTGGTGATGTGGATATGCGTAATCTACCACAACAAATTCCATCCTTCTCTCATATGCCTGTTGTGCAACCTCATTTAATCCCTGGACATGGATCTTTTACTAGTTCATCTCTTCCAACGCTTTCCAAAGATAATCCACACGCGTACAAAATTCATGTAGTGCGCCATCTTCTGTTAACACGTAATCCTACGGATGTAAATATGCTGGTGGACAATCTTTTGCGATTAGGTGTGACACCAGATGGAATCTTAAAAATTAACGATTCATGGCTTTCATCCTTACATCTTTTGCTTTCATTGGAAGTAGTTGGACTGCATGGTATTAGCGGAAATAATGTAAGTCGTCATTTATTACCGTTTAACTTGAATTCTTTATTGATGGTTTATCTATGTGTAATATTTCTTGATTGCTATTACTGTCGGATTAATTTTTATGTGAGTAAAGGTTGCTACGGGTATTTAACACCCTCGTGTAATCTGGCTATCAATCAAAGGACGTGTGTACTGCTCAGCCGGTTCTCTCCATCCATCCTTACGGCTGGGAGACATGGCCATTAAAAGTGGAAAACGTGAAAAGCCTAGTTAGTTGTCTTTAGCCATAGGTGTCTGCCTTCTATCTCCCATACTAGTTGGTATAATTGGATGAGTACAATATTGAAGTCAGGCGTAGAGTGTTAGGTAAAGAGGACAATTCAATCGATAAGGCTGTGAAGGTGAGTTGATTAAGACAGATAACTAGGATGCCTAGTCATCGCCTTCCTCAATGAGTAGTGTTAGCTGACATAGGATCAGGTTGAAAAAGAGGTAGTCACGGTCAAACCGAAAAAAATGAAATCCTTGACAGTTAGGCTGGGTCAGCCACTCGGAGAGGTGTAGACGGCTTCATTACACAGAAGTGCAACAGTTCTATGTTGAAACCAGTCAGTCATTTATCACTGTAAATTTTCGTGAATTCTCTACTATATTTGTATTATTCTTATTGTTGTAACTATTCATGATATATGTATATTTTGCTCTAAAGGAGACAAATCCAATAGCATTTTTGCTGTCATCATCTGGAAACATTATGTGGGCAGTGACAGTATTGTTACAGTTGGCTAAAGGTTCAGCCATTATTCGTCATGAAGCAGGTACATTAGAGTATACGACAGCCAGAGCTATGTTATTAGCTTCTTTAAATAATCTTGCCTCGGTTAATCCAATTGTACCGCCTCCAGCGTCACTGTCTACATCATTACCTGTTAATGTTGCAACTGCAAGTCATACAGTTGGTAAACAGTCTCGTATCGGTGATATTTTCCAGTGGATTCGAGCTGCTATCAAACATGAATTAATGCTACTTGATTTGTTAGTAAGTTTTAAGCACTTTTTTTCTCCTATACACTCTTTAAACAATGTCTGTTTTGCCTGGCATTTTATATCTTATTGACTGATGTGTTAGTTTTAATCAAGTGATTTTGGTATTATATGTATGTATTATGTACGACAACGGCACCTGCCAAGTGATCCACAACGGAAGACTCAGCGAGGCGTTTGGAGTAAACACAGGAGTCAGACAAGGGTGCTTACTATCACCAATGATATTCCTAATTGTGGTGGACTGGATTATGCGTCAGACTGTGGGAAACGAGAAGACAGGAATATCCTGGACCGACGTGAAGAACCTAGAAGACCTGGATTTCGCGCGTGGATGATGTATGTTTGATGTTACACAAAATCGAAGACTTACAAACGAAAACCGACAAACTGGTCGAAGAAGCAGCCGGCGAAGACAGGACTCCAGGTGAACATATACAAGACGGAGGTTATGAAAATAACCAACCACCACAAAAACAGCAGCAACATCCAGCGACAATCACCATCAACGGGGGGGATTTGAAAGAGGTTACTTCATTCACTTCACTGATATAGGGAGCATTGTCTCAACTACAGGCAGTCGGAACGGACGAGGATGTCAAATCGAGCGAGAATCGGGAAGGCGAGAAACACATTCATCAGCCTGAAATCAATCTGGAAATCTTCGTCACTCAGCATCACCAACAAAATTCGGATTTTCAATACAAACACGTCAAGTCAGTCAGTTCTTCTATACGGATCAGAAACTTGGCGGGTCACAAAGTATATTTCCAAAAGGCTGCAGACCTTTATTAACAACTGTCTTCGCTCAATACTGAAGATCAGATGGCCGGAAAGAATCACTAACAAGGAATTATGGGAACAAACAAAGCAAGAACCAATCGCCCAACAAATATGCAGGAGAAAGTGGAGATGGATCGGACACTCGCTGAGGAGACCGCTGGGTGACATCGCGCGCCAAGCCCTCGAGTGGAACCCGAAAGGGAGGCTGCGTGTAGGACGTCCAAAGGTGACATGGAGGAGATCGTGTGTAGAGGAGTTGAAAGAAGATGGATTAACATGGATGCAGGCGAAAAGTAGAGCAGAAGACAGAAGAAAATGGAGACGTGCAGTTGAAGCCCTATGTTCCACTAGGAACCCAAGGGAGCAATAATAATAATAATGTCACGTTTCTACAATAAACAATTGGTTGACGTTTCTCAGAGATAAACTTTGCCCCAATAAATCCAACTAAGAAAAATAATATATTTCCTATAGTTGGTTTGTAAGGGTTAGTTTTGTTTTTACGAATTGATCACGGATTGATATCAGCTAGAGAACCAATGAAAAGCAGCCAAGGAGTACTGGACAGCTGTTTCATCCTAGTTTGAGAATCATTGGCAGTACGCACCCACTGTCATGGTTCGAACCAAGGACCTTCCGGTTACAAGACAAGCTCGTATACCATTCAGCCACTAGGACGTGGTTCAATGGTCAGCCCATGAATTCTAACTTCTACCAATTCTTGATTTAGCGCGACCCCAATCAATGTCGTCGGTGGGACATCCATCCTCACACATGACTGGATGAACCTCGTAAAAGAAATATAATTTACCAAATATCATATGATGGTGCGTCGGTGGCATAGCGGTTGGGACGCTCGCCAACCATGCATATGGTCCGGGGTTCGATTCCCGGCCGACGCACTCCTTTACCCCGCTAAGCCAGAAATACTGCTGGTAAAGAGGAAAGGTTGGGCATGAAGCTAGCAACCCCATCCTGTAAAAAAATAAACACTGCTACAGAAACTCCAAGTCACTAGCTTGAAGCCCTATGTTCCACTGAGGAATGTGAAGGAAAAATTGTTATTATTATTATTATTATTAAATATCATATAATGATTGTGAGGTCAATTACACAGCTCAAACTAGTAGATCGGGGTCAACTAGATTATTGGAACATGAAAATTTAGCTAGACGTAGAATGATTGGCCCTGCTAAGTTAAATAACATAGAAAAATGTTCAACCATTACACTGCATTCAACTGCATGTAATCACAAAATAGAATGGGTTGGACAGGGTGAGAGTATTAAAAAGTAATGTAGTTAGATGGAGGGAGAGAGTGGTTAGTCACTGATGCTTTGTTTATCGATTCAACACTGCACATGTGCAGTAGGAATGGTGCAACAGCGCCTATTCCGGAGAAATAGGAAGTTGATATGATAGAGAAGATTTGTAGCTCAGGTGGATAATTTTGATGTGGTTTTGTTCTCTGAGCTGGATAGTTAGTTTGCGAAGCTTTCATCACCTTACTGGGTGACATCTTCAGCGCATACTTCAAATTGAAGTGAGCTTTTAGGTTTCTCCACGAGTTTATTAATCATTCCTCCTGGTGACCTTGGACGTGATTGGTTGTTTATGTATGTTTTCACACCTTCTAGGTTACTTGTGCTGGAACTTATTGTTTCTGTGACTTGGACTTTGGCCAATCGTGTGTGAAGTTTCTTTCTTATTGGTTGATAAATTTTGTCTATCTCGATGTGTCTATTGATCGATGATTCACTGGAATGCCAAGCTTCTAAAAATTCTCTAGCATTCTTGTTATTTCCTTTGTCTAATATTTGAACGTTGTCCCAGTCGAATTGATGTCCGTGGTTGTCTGTGTGTAGTGAAATGAGGGAGTGTATATCATGTCTTTTGACGGCTAGCTTATGTTCGTGGATACGAAGACGAAGGGGACGTCCACTTTGGCCAATGTAGTGTTTTTCACAGTTGTTACAGTTTATTTTGTAGATGATGTTGGTTTTGTCTTCTTTTGCTGTTGAGTCTTTAGGTTGACATAGAATTGAGTGCAGCGACTTTGTTGGTTTGTGTACGACGTCAATTCCTAAAGGTTTGAAGAGTCTTTTAGTGATTTCTGAGATATCCTTTATATATGGTAAGGCGATTTTCTTTGTGTTTTCCTTGGTGGCTTTTGTTTTGGTAGGTTGGCTTGGGGGTATATGTCTTTTGATGAAATTCCGGGGATATCCATTCTTTTGGAAGACGTCCATGAGATACTTTTCTTCAATTTTTCTTAAGGTGGGAGTGCTGCAGTGAGTCCTTGCTCTCTTGAATAGTGTTTGTATGCAGTTCCTTTTGTGTGCTATTGGGTTGTTGCTGTTGTAATTCAGTATTTGGTCTGTGTGAGTTGATTTCCTATAAACTTGAGTTTCTAATTCTCCTGTAGTTTTTCGCCTGACTAAGACGTCCAAAAATGGTATTTTGTTCTCGGATTCCTCTTCTCTTGTGAATTTGATGTCGCTGAAGACGTTGTTTATTAAGTTGTGAGTTTTGTCTAATTCGTTTCTTTTGATTATTACAAATGTGTCGTCGACGTAGCGTATCCAAATCTTGGGTTTGATCTTTGGTAGAATTATGTTTTCGAGTCTTTGCATCACTGCTTCTGCAATCAAACCTGATATTGGCGATCCCATGGGTGTTCCTTTGACTTGTTCATATATTTGGCCGTTGAATTGGAAGTATGTTGTTAGGCATAGATTTATGCATTCCATCCAGCTTGTGTGTTGCATTTTTGATTGTTGTGGAAGTTGTTCGTCGTTGCTAAGTAATTGCTCCATGGTTTCTTTTGCTAGTTTTTGTCCGATAGAGGTATATAATGCTGTCACGTCGAAGGATACCATTATTTCTTGTTCATCTATTTGGATGTCTCTGATTTTCTCTAGGAATTGGATAGCAGAGTTGATGGAGTGATCACAGGATTCCGTTAAGTGTTTTAGTTTTCTGTATAATTCCTTGGACAAATTATATGTTGGAGTTCCTGGGAGTGATACAATTGGTCGTAACGGGATATTTGCCTTGTGTATTTTGGGTCTGCCGTAGAATCGAGGTAGGACTGGTCCATTGGATTTCATTCGCCATTGGTCTTGCACTCAATTCTATGTCAACCTAAAGACTCAACAGCAAAAGAAGACAAAACCAACATCATCTACAAAATAAACTGTAACAACTGTGAAAAACACTACATTGGCCAAAGTGGACGTCCCCTTCGTCTTCGTATCCACGAACATAAGCTAGCCGTCAAAAGACATGATATACACTCCCTCATTTCACTACACACAGACAACCACGGACATCAATTCGACTGGGACAACGTTCAAATATTAGACAAAGGAAATAACAAGAATGCTAGAGAATTTTTAGAAGCTTGGCATTCCAGTGAATCATCGATCAATAGACACATCGAGATAGACAAAATTTATCAACCAATAAGAAAGAAACTTCACACACGATTGGCCAAAGTTCAAGTCACAGAAACAATAAGTTCCAGCACAAGTAACCTAGAAGGTGTGAAAACATACATAAACAACCAATCACGTCCAAGGTCACCAGGAGGAATGATTAATAAACTCGTGGAGAAACCTAAAAGCTCACTTCAATTTGAAGTATGCGCTGAAGATGTCACCCAGTAAGGTGATGAAAGCTTCGCAAACTAACTATCCAGCTCAGAGAACAAAACCACATCAAAATTATCCACCTGAGCTACAAATCTTCTCTATCATATCTAAATCTTACGAGCGGGATACGCTTCTCTCTGTTCGAAAGTGGGAAGACTTCGCCAAAAGGCAAGGATCCACCAGAGAACAATTATTCTTTCTCCATGAGTGCCTTCGTCATTCAATCCTACCAAACAGTGTAAGATACAAGCCACCAGTCAACTGCCCAATGGGATGGAAATTGGCCGAACAATGTGGAAGACGAATGGTCAAATTAATGATTACGGACGCACATTATCGGATCAACAAATATCAACAAATAATAGATGTCCAAAAAGCAAAATTAGAGAAAACCCTCAACCAAGAACACCTGTCAACGCTGATCACCGCAATTTCACTGTCAAGTGGAAAACACAGAGAACAAAGACGAAGAGTCCTCAAAACCAAGCTAGCCAAGATTAGAAAACAACAACCAGACAATACGCCCATAGACTGCGTAGTCAACCTATCAAAACAACCA